CACACACACACAGTAACACAACTGTACATTGACGTTTCTGAAAGTTTTACTTTGAATGTTTAAATTAATAATTAATTTTGTGAAATAAATGTTCAGTAATTACGCACTGTATTAATCTCTCCTGATACTTCACATGAATAAATGCTCATTAAAGGACCATACTGGTGTTTTTTGCATTTTTTAAAAACTGTTATAACACATCCTGTTTACATCACATCCCTGCTGATCATTTCCTGAATCATCCATCAGTTTTTGAACTGATTTCCTTCCTTCGACGCAACTGTTGGTTTGAAGTTACTTCTATAAAAATCGTCCTAAACTACGTTCTAAATGTCCAGATTTTCATTAGTATCAAAGAATTGTGGGAAATGTCGGAGGGCTCTGATTTGGTGCTGCCATGGTTACGCCCTTGAATTCAACTGGTTCCCAACCTTTTTCCNNGAGTAAACTGTGACATATTTTATGGATATGTACAATGAACCCAAACAGTGAACTCAGTAACTGTAGGAAGTTTGTGGAAAATGAACGTTTTGGATGAATTTAAATTTTTGATTATTTCCAGATGAGTTTTTCTGTTAGAAACCTTTTATACAATCCTCTGTTTATTATGTTATTTATTTATTTTTTAACAATCATACAGGCTTAATAGACTTCTTTTTGACCAATTCAGAGTTTTCTTCTCCCTGATACTTGTACTACAGCTTGTGTTCAGGTCATCAGAGTTTTGATGTTTAATAATCCACTCAAATGAGAGAAACGGATTACATAAAAAATCAAACCCAATTTTGCAAGTTAAATAACATCCTCGATTTAGTTCTTTTTAATAGTTTTTTTTTAACAATATAATTACAAAATTAAGTCACTTAAAATGACTAAAGCTACTTGATCAACAATGTTTTTTTTACTTACAAAACGGAGTTAGTCTTAAGATTTTTATCAGTTTCACAAAATGTTTTGAGTGTAATTAACTCATCTGGTTTTATAGTTTCATCTGTGACACTGATGAACGGTGCGAATAGTATTAATAGTAGTAGTAGTAGAATAGTACATTTTAACTTTTACTCGCCCCAAAAAACGTAAGAATAACAAGATATGAGCGATCGGCAGGCAGGGAAACTTTTTTTGCTGATGCATTTCTGGTCGTCTCCTCTACAAGAAGATTTTTATAGAAATGAAGTGAAACCAGCAGCTGACTGGATACTGGCGACGATTTGGAAAATGATCAACAACAAACACTTCGATGCTCCTTTACAATCCTCTATGAAGGTTGATAATTCATGACATTAATAAAACAAATAAAGTATTGATGCACTTCATGCAAACTGGGACACCAGTTCCTCAACCGACTGGTGGCTCCCTCTGACAGTTTCAGGTCCTCTCAGCAGGTTGGGACGTCCTTCCTTCGGTATTTCTTCACGCTCTGCAGCTTCAGACCGACCATTAACAAAAAACCTCCATCAGCTGAAGTCCGTGTCGTCGTGGCTCGAGTGGCGAACTGTTCCAGATCAACCAAAGTTGGCAGTATTGTTGTTTATGAAGACCCTCTGATACGACACATCGAAACTAATCTCAACACAACGTTACTCCTGTTCGGTCCCTAATGGAAACACATAGAACAAAGTGACATTAGAGGCATGCTACCAGCCGTCGTTACGATGCCGCGGTCACCGGGTCAAGTCTCCGTAGCGGCGAGCTGCTCCGTCTGAAAACACAACTAGGCTGCGGTACTCTAGCTTTTTACACCCCAGCAGGACGCAGAGAGAGGACGAACATAAACGAGAACACAAACACGGCACCACCGAGTGTTTAAAGGGTGTCCAGACTGTGGTTTGACCTAAAGGTGACCTCCGTTAGCTCCACACTACAAACAGCAGCGAAACAACAACAGCAGCAGTGGCGGCAGGCGACGCCCTGGCGCCTCTATCTGTCGTTGAGTTTGGGTGAGTCCACCGGCTCCTCGTCTTCATCCTTGTCGTCCTTCGCCCCGATCAGCCGCTGGCGGGCAAAGTCTTCGAAGATGATGTCGTCGTCGCTGAGGGAAAGGAGGGAGAGTTGTGGGAGTTAATTCAGAACAAAAACATCAAAGAAACAGAAAGAAAATGTTTGAGATGAAGGCGGTACGCAGCGGTGAGCAGTCAGAAACGTGTGGAGCCACAGGAGGGAAGAAGTCTGTAGATTAGATTCCCACAGTCAGAGATTAGCTTTAGCCTTTAGCCTTTTAAAAGAGAACAGATCCACCTTCCAACAAGTCAAGTCAACTTTATTGTCAGATGTGCTATACATGCACGACATACAGCACAAATGAAATTTCAGTCCTCTCGGACCCACGGTGCTTAATCTCAAGTCTAAATCTAGAAAAAGGATGAACTCCATCTTCATCTTACACATGAGTTGTTTATGTTCTGTTTCAACAGACTCAGACCAGCATGAATGCAACCCCTCCAGAATTTTGCTGGCTTTCTTTGGATTGTTGCAGCCTAAAATGTCTGATTTCTTGGCAGGAGAAAGAGAAATAATCATTACAGATTGAAGGCGGCTGTTGGGAGGATCAGTGTGAGACGTTCATGGCGCAACATTAGAAAACGAGGAAGTGAGTTGGTGACGCCACGACTCAACATTTTGTGCAGGAAACTACAACAATTGGTCAAATATCAGAATCACCCAATGTTTCAGCCTAAGCGTAGAACAGTGAGCGCCCCTGAAAGCTGTGTTAGCGTTCACACACTGACTGGATGTTCTGTATCCTGATTTATATGTGATAAATCATCTGACAGCACTGGAGTGTCGTTCTTCATCCTCCTGAACAGCACAGCCCGACAACCGCCCCTCTGAACTCACTCATAACTTTCTAACTTCTCTTCCCAAAAATGGAAGATTTAGCATGTTTGGTAAAAGGACTGAAAGAATTTTTAGCATCAATTTAGCGAATAGATGAAATGTAGCATTATGCTGGTGTTTTACCAAAGCTAAATTAAAACAATTATAATTAATGTGAAGATATATTAACTAGTAAACAGAGACAGACCAATACGATCAGAAACAGATGATGTTATTGCTGATCAATAAGCAGTATTATGACAGATAAAGCGACCGTA